TCGGGCGGCACGGCGGCGAGCGGCCCGGCGGGCGGCGGCGGTGGCGGGGGGGCGATGGCGACGACCATGGCAATACTTAAGATTCCACGCATGTAGTCTGGCATTGGCATGTAGCCAGGACTCTGAGACTCTAACCGCCATCACCTCCCGCCGGAAGAGTAGCTTGCAGTTCGCTGCTTCGCCCTCCGCTTCCTGTGTGGTTTGGGGTTTACAGCAGTGTTGGTCTGTTTTTTGCGGGAAACCTTGTTTGATGTGTTTTAGCAGCCCCTTTTTCCATCTCAGACCATTGTTTGAAGACCTGAAGACCATGTTAAATTCATTTTTGGGGCCCTGGAAAACTTAAGAGTCCAGACCATCCCCTTCAAAGTAATATCCAAAGCCCTCCGTACCGCGGGAGCCTTATTAAAGACGTCCATTTTGTGCTTTTCCGGCGCCCTATTGTTACTGTACCGGGGGACGCCATCGATTAAACACAGTGCAACACTATGTGAGGCTTCGAAGTATCCACATATTGAGATCTGAGATAGCAACTATGACGTAAGCGTAGCCATTTTTCAGGCACAAGTATCGGTAATCATAAAAATCCAGATTGATGGAATCATGATCAAGTGTCTGGGAGGAGCGCAAGCGCGGGAAAAATGCCACAGGAGTCGACTGCGCAGCCTGGGCTGCTGCTAAAGAAGTTAAAACACGTTGCCATAATATGGGTATATAGTAAATAATAGGGGCTTTTTTTATCATAGTAACTTAAGTTGAGTTCCTTAGAAGCAACCCAGTAGCTTGACGGACGCAGCTTGATGCGGTGATCCTCCACGATGCCATCCACCAGACTCGGCCCCAACGTTCCGAACGCGCGGAAAAATGACTCCAGTCGCTGACCAAGAAGAGGGAGTAACTGAACTCTTGGACTGCAGAGTAGGAGCGCTTGGGGATGCTGGACCCGGTCTAGTGCTCCTGCCATTAAAAGCGCAACTTCTTTGGCTGCAATGTCGGTATTGCAAATGTGGGACAGCCTTTCAGGCAGGCCGACCCCGTCAGAGCAGATGTGGTCTTTGCTTGCCTCCCTCACGCTCCAACCATGTGTACCCTTTACAAGTCCACCAAGAGGCCTCATTAGCAAAAGCAAGCTGCCCTGAGGGCAGTGACTTACTGTACGCAGATGGCTGCCCTTCACTTCCAGAGCGCCAGCTGAGCACCACTCGCTCCCAGCAAGGGAGGCGTCCGCGTGCGCTTCCCAGAGGCCCGGGCCATTTTCAGCCCGGAGCTCCTTGAGCGCCATCACGTGGCGATCCAGCTTGCCAAGCACGTCCATGCACTGCTTCCGGACGTTCTCTGGGACCTGGCCAGCTGCATGCTACAAGCCGTTGCTGCATGCTGCAACCCGTTCGGTCCAAGTGGAATCGTCAAGACTATGGCAAGCCACGTCATCGGTAGCTGCGCCGTCAAACCTTTCATGAAGGACGGTCCGGCTGTTCAGGTGCTTGACACCAATGCTCATACGATGCAGTTGGGCAACTCAACCGATGAGTTGTGCCATGTAGGCAAAAACACATACCGTACCGACTAGTCCCAAGCATGCGCCACACGAATGACTAAGGTGACTGAGGATGCAGCCTCTGGATCACTTGATCGGCTGCCTCGTGCTCGCCTCCACACACAAGCAGTGCAGCTTTCGAACTCTTCTCCGGTATCTCCAAATGCCGGTCTCGCACATGTGCACCCATACATGGTATGACGCATAATTGGTTTAGGCCACTTTGGTCGTAGAGCACCAGCATGCGGCATCAGGAGCCTTCCAACACTTGCAATCGACACTGGCTCGAGCTAGTCTCCTCCCCCTAGGAAAAGCCTCCACCACCTCATCATACATATCTCTGAAGTAATAATATTTTGGAATAGTGGAAGAGCAGGGTTGGGGAGGGTGTATCATATAGCAGATGAGGCAACAAGGGCCTGTGCAGGCAAGAGCTGCAGCCAGGCGATGTGCAGCCTGCAAGGCGAGGGGGTCTCAACAATCCAGGGCCTTCAAAGGAGACTACAGCAATGACCAAGAAATAAGAAGGGGATTACGGGGGGGCCCTGTTGCGCTCATCTGGAAATGTTCTGACAAACTCGCACGGCATGTGGCAAGGTGATGGTTAATTTCTTTTGGAAAAGGGTCTGATACCGCAATGTTGGTGGTGGTTTACAACGGGCATTATTTGGGGAAGTTCTGATGTCTGCTGGCGGAGGTCACAAGACCCACTGCTATGCGTTGTAATGAAGCTTTGCCAACACCAGCCCTACAAAACCTTCCTCGGGCGGTGACGACTTTGATTACGCGGATGTATAAAGGTCTAAATACGTCTTTTATACTGACTACCGCCGTTCGGGCCTCCCCCGCCGGGCCGCACAGCCAGTTTGAATTAGCGAAAAATGACTGTAGAGGACCACGACTCGCCTGCCACTCCCCCTGCCAACCCTGGCCTGCTACCTGCCACTGCCCTACCCTGCAAATCCCTCCTCACCCACCACCCGGGCCTAAGCATCACCCCTACCACCCCCGCATCAGCACCAAGGTCAGCACCCATGCCTGCCGCCTGAGACTGCCACCCTTGCCACAGCCCTGCCATTACCTCTGCCACCTGCGCAAGCTGCCCTCCAATGATAAAACCCCTGCAAAGCCACACCACCTTTCACACCAGGGCCACCTTGCCACCCAACTCACCACCAAAATCCCGCTTCCATCAAACGCTTCAACTGGGTGCGGGGCACGGGTGTGGTAGGGCTAGCAGATGCCACGGGTGGCAAAGAGTGGTGGTGCTTGCCTCTTGCTTTTTAAAGAGTCTTCGTAGCTCAAGCAGCCTGGTCGCCCTCCACTTGCTTGAAACCTCCTTTGTCACCCGGATCTCATTCTTCAAAGCTTCAGGCCTTGACAGCTACCGCCCAGGATGGTCTCAGTCGGAGGCAGGAGATGGCTGCAGCAATAGCACCTGAGCCCCCAGAGATCAGGCTATCATCAAGGGGCCCAGCATGGCCCAGCACAAAAAGCTGTGAGGGTCCCACAGTGGGGCTGGCCCAAACAAAGCCTGCACAGGCTGGAACATGCTGCCAAAGAGTATCCGCATGCTCCATGCATTTTGGCAGTCCCACCTGCAGTGAGCGAGATTGCTGAAGATGGCAGCCACATCCACCAAGCAGGGATCAGAAGCTGCTGCTTTTGTGTAGCCTACAAGCGACTTTGCACCAGGCGCCAAAGTTTGCTGTCCCAGTGAATGCATGCCTTCAACAGCACGGTCGTACTTTTGCTTGTTGTACCTCCGAAGCACCAGTCATAGAGGCGTGCCTCTGGCAACAACCACATCAACTTGTGTTCTTCAACTGCCAGCGGTTGATTTAGCAAGAACCGGTCATGAAAACTGCTGATTCTGCCCTCTCGGGCACTCCGCATTGGCTGCATCCTGTCAGTTCACAAGCTAATGCAGGGACCTAAATGATTAGAGCATTTTGGGGGGTGGTATGCTGCTAGATCATTCCATAGATACTATCTGGCACAAGTTTGATATAGAAAAGTAAAAGACACAGGCTTCTACCCTATGTACTGCGGCATAGTCTTCATGCACCTTTTAAAAGGATCTCAATTACTTTAACCTAGCCTTTTCCGCCAGGAGCCGCGTCCAGAATCCCACTTACAGCCAAGAGCTTTTTGTAAGGAGCTACGGGGGCTCAACAGCGATACGTGGGGATACGTGTTGGTACACAGGGTGCACGGGATTGAGGACGTGTATCTGCAACAATGACGCCCTACTTGTACCAAGGTCAGGAAGTGGGCTTTTGTCGCAACTGGGGCCTTTGGCCCCTAAGACGATCTTATTGATCAAGGGCGCAGGGAGAGATAGGAAGACAGACTGAATACTTTTTGCTGAATCACCGGCCAAAATATGTGATGCGGAAAGGAATCCCAAACAATTCCCTTGTACGATCCCAAAAGACCACTCTGAATCACGCATTCTGCCCCAACCTGTCATGCAAACTCAGAGTGCGTTTGTTTTCTCAGATGTCAATCCCGGAGCACTCCTACCCAAATTTACTGCTGATGATCTCTGGTTAACATTCTATGCAAGAACATGACAAGGTCCAAGAGATGTTTCCCTAAACCGAACCCTAAACCCTAAACCGCGTGTTTAACGATAGGGTAGCCGTCTCGGCAAACTCCTCGTCCCAATTCATCCCTGGAAGCCTTTTGACCTCCTGCGTGGGGAATAATGGAAAAGAAGGTGGACACTCTCTTGGTATATAGGGGTTAAGGGTTTACGGTTTGGGGTCGAATAATGGAAAAGAAAATGGAAACTACTATATCATATAGGGAATAATGGAAAAGACAATGGAAACTACTGTTAATAGGAAATTAATAAAGGAATATATTCTATAGGGATTATAAACGGATCTCTTCCCATGTTCCCTACCAACCACCAGTAAGTGATAGCTTCGACTTTCCTACTTTCATCCCGAACTGAGCAGGGAGGGAGCCACCTTCGCGACCTCCACTGCGCGCTTTGCAGCAACAGCGTTGGGGGCTGTGGGCGCTGTGCCTGGGCCTGAAGAACAGTTCAATGGGGTTTGAGGCTTGGGGTTGCTGGTCCCTGCGCATGCAGAGTCCCCGTAGAGTTAGCAAAATGCTGGGTAGAGTACCATTTGAAAAGATTGTCTGCTAGAGTAGGCAACTGACAGGAAAACAGCCATCAATCTACGTAGACGATAGGGTAGTTTCCCTAAATAGGGGGACCCCACAGTAGACCCCAAAAAGGCTCAAATCCTGATTGCAGGGACCCTCTAAAGGTACCCGTAATGTTGGGAAGCCCCCACATGCTGACAGCCTGGAAAGCGTACAGAAGCAAGACTTCAACAGCTGCCCAAGCTTAGGGGTCCGTACGCAGAATGCGAAACTTTGAGGACTGGGGTATTTTAAGGTTCCCCGGAAAATTGTCAAAATTTAGAAGCCTGACGAGGCCCACCTCCAGTAGCAAAGGCTGTGGAGCACGTGGCCGCACGGCATGTGACGGACCGCCAGTCTTCCAGCAGTACCTGTGCTGAGTATGTTCAGAAGCGCGGCCGCTTGTTCAAAGGCATTTTTCAGAATTGCAGATGTCACATGGAGCCCATGCATGCACGCCCCAAGCTACGCACCAAGTTGGGACGTTTTTTGTGAGGCTCTGCTCATGCGGCAGGAACCCAGGTTCTGGTGCATGCAAAGGCTGCATGGAGGATGGCACAAAACTTGGAGCAACCAACACGGCGGCCCCGCAATAGGTCTGCGTGCGCGGCGTACGCATTTGCAGACTTCTAGCTTCGAGAAACAGTCACCATTGCAGTAAAAACTTCATGATCACAATCTCCGAATTTTCCCCCACGACCACCATCAAGCTATCGTCCAATTTCAGGCTGAACGAAATCATGATGCAATCGTGTTAGCTGCCATTGCGCTTTAACATCCAACCTAACTTCCCTCATCCACCCTAAGTTCCCCGGTGGGAACGAGCCTCCGTCAGCTCAGCCTTTTCCGGGCCCGAGGACATCTCCTCGGCCCTTCTCGCTACGCTCAGAGCGCCCAGGCCTCACAAAGGATGCTGGCTTAGGGCTTAGGTTTTAGGGTTTAGGGTGCGGGGCTTTCGGGAGAGGCACAAAGTGGGGACTCGAAAGTGAGTATGTATGTGGGAGGGGCTGCCGAGCGCTGAACATCACAAAATCCGAGTGTGTCCAAACTGGATCGTTGACTGGTCTAACCCACTTCCCCCAGCACGCTCCCCCAGACTAACATGGAACTACCACGTAGGTTTGAAGAAAGACTTGCAAGACCCCCGTCAGGTTTCATGGTAGTTTGGGGGAGTGTACTTATGTACCTGGGCAGCGTCCTACTTGCAGGCAGCTTTTTCCTCAGGTGTGGTTCAGCCCTTTTTTTGGTCCCTAAGTCCCCGAGGAGATCCGAGGAGCATGTATGTGGGGCTAAAAACACCCACGCATAGGAGGATGGGGACCCTGACCCACCTAATCCCTATGAGAGCTGATATTTTCGACATGCAACAGAGATGCCTGATGCGAGGGCCCAAAAACGATGACACATAATACGAGGATGGCGTCCCCGACCCACCTGATCCCTGTGACTGTTGGCATGTTTGACATGCAAGCCCAAAAACCTGCGCTCTTCCTGCTAGCACTTTGAAAACGCGACAAAGATGTGGTGACAGCTGCTTGACGCTCCACATGTTGCAGATGACAAAACTCATCGCGTTTAGAACGCAACACGGCTGCACACACTGCCCAATTAAAGCGTCGGCAAGTCCTTGCGCGCGCAACCATGAGAACAGCAGCCACAGGTTTTTGCGCTCCAATAGCGAGTGTACGGTTGCAATCGAAACGTTAAAAGTGAACTATAACCTTGGAAGCTCCTCGAATGCTCCGAGTACTATCAAACACAAAGGTTGCGATTCGCTGAAGGCATTCCATACTGTAACCTAATGTGTAGTTCTTCGCATCTGCGATGTCCCGAACATTCCGCACAATGTACGCTGCGCATTGACAGAGCCATTTGGCTCCGGTGCAATAAAACTTGTTCTCAAGATCCACACGTGGCTTGCGAGTTTTTGCTGTACCGCGGATGGCGTGCATTGTCATGTAATTACCTCCCTAGTATACAGCTCTGCCAAAGATGGACGAAGATCAGAACATGTCAGAATTCGCATGTTGCTTGTGAGTTTTTGATGGAAAATGATGTCCTTCGTTATCCAGATGCCTGCCCATTATCAAAAAGGTTGGGGTCTGCCCAAACCGCATGTCAAAATATTGGCAAAGATGAGACATCATGAACCCAGAATCTGAAGATTCACACGTTGCTCATCAGCTATTCACGGCTTGACGGTGACGCTTCTCTGGATAGCGGCAGTGATGTGCTGTATCATTGACCTGACTGTTTTACATGAAGCTGCGGAGGGATTGGGGACCAAAAACCCACCCCAATTTCCAAAAATGTGACGAACACGAACCCATCTGAAGATTCATACAAGGATCACCAGAGGACCGGGGGACCAGAGCCACACCTCAGGGTTTAGGGTTTAGGGTTTAGGGTTTAGGGTTGTCATTCCTCGGAGAAACGAACATGGCCCCTAGTGACAGTCTCAGCCAAAAATGCACCAAGCCCCAGACAGAACCACATTGGAGGATCACAGGGGAGGCATCAAAGAACCCACATCATCTTAAACCCTAATCTCTAAGCCCTATCCCAAACCCCTAAAAATGTACAAAATCCCAAACCATCTTGAACCATCCTGAAACCCTTGGAAGCCGAACCTGCTGCGGCCATGACATATCGAGACCAGGCCTAGCAGGTTTCTCATGAGCTATATTCTAGACTCCTTCAAGGGGGGTTATAGATGCGATTATAAGGGATTATTTACGGGTTTACATGTGGGATTATATGGAATTATATATGGGGTTATCTATGGGATTATATAGGGGACTGTGACTGGGAGTATTAAGGGGCAGGCTAGCAGTTTAGACTATAGCCCTCATGATCCCGGTAAAAGGGAGTTAGGTCGCAGGGCTCAGGTTTTCGAATCTAAGTGTTTAAAGGCTTATGCATGCAGTCTGCGGACGATCCCAATGAGGATGGCGCCAGGATCTTTAGCGAGAACATGGGATATACAAGCAAGCGCGGCGACCGGACCGACCAACTCTACGATAATTGTCTTCCATTTCTTTTGGTGAAATGTATGCTATGGAACATGTTTGGCTCCTTCTGGGCAAAAGAATCGCATGGCACTCGAGTATTTTCGGGCGTCCAGCAAAATGCGAATTGGCGACAGTCCTGAAGGCCTAAGAGTTCGGGGTGCCAAGGTTTTGCCTGGGACCATCGCAACAAGACATCCCAAAATGTAAGTGGTTTGGCTCTGTGGAAGGCAAAGTTGATGGGGCGATGCTCAGCCAAAAACCTAGATACATGGTAAAACTTGTTTGCTCAAGGGTTGCTGGATAACCTTCAGCCGGGGTATTCTGCTTCTGCCAAACGACGGGGCTTTGCACCGTGCTGTGTCAAGCGGCTTCATTCCAGGCGCAAAAGTCGCCAAATTCTGCGGTGGCATCCAACCTGTGTTTTTCAGGAACGCCTACAAAAATCTGGGGCCCAACGGTCCATGTCGGTTTAGGCCCTAAACCCTAAGCCCTAAAGCCTTAACCCTAAACCGCGAAACACAACAAGCTCAGGCATGGTGTGCATCTGGCGTTCCACCAGTTCCACCACCACCAGTAGCCTTCTGGAGAATAAATTGTGCGTTAGTGCAGGTTCCTCATCAAGCTCTTGTTCCCCCAATGCACGCCGCACACCAGCAGGGGTATTTTGCGCGAGTTTCACCACACCTCCCTGAAATTCAAAAACATCCAATATATCCCGTATATTCTCCTCATAAGACTGTAGTAGCTTCCATGTTCTTTTCCATTATCCCAATAAATAATCCCAAGGACAAACTTTGCGAGGCTGTACGTTTGCTGCATTCAAGGCTGCACGAGATGCATTTGTCTGTTCATCCGTCCATTTGTTTAAAAATACTATTGCTATATTAGTTGACATTGGTATTATATTGGTCGTTGTGAAACGCTCACCATTGCAAGAAGGCTGTCGTCTGTTGGCCAGGATGCATATGGGAATGCACATGAGCGATGGTCCAGCCATGCCGTCTGTGATGAAGTACACACCAGATGTCCCAATAATTCCGGTTCTGCAAGGTGGAGGAAACGGCTAGCGGCCTACCCATAATAAGTTAACAGAACGTTGAAACCCAAGATTATCACAGAAAATGTCTGCCAGTTCGGCGCACTGAACGATCACAAAGATTCCGCGTGAGTGTAGGGAGGCCAGTGTAACGGCCCAGGAGCTTTTCCCCATCATAACTGCGCGTAGCATCGTGCTGCCGTCTGTGCACACGCACTGTCACGAGGGTTTAGGGGCTTACGGGGTTAGGACGGTTTAGGGTTTTCTGGCTTGGGGGTTGAAGCGTTAAGGGGCTTCGGGATGTTTTGGAAGGTACTAGGGGCAACCCAGTACGATAAGCAGCTAAGCAGGTAGCTTGCTCTTGTAACGGATGAGCAAGAATCTAAACTCCTAGTATTCCCCTCGATAACCCCTTTTATTCTCCCCTATTTAATCCCCCATATAACCCCCGCCCCCCCTTTAAGGAGTTTAGACTATAGCTCAGATGGCCAGCCTTCGCATCCTGTGCCCGCAGCTGAAGGGTCAAAGCAGCATCCGCTGCCGCGGCCTCATAGTCTCGGAGCTTCAGGAGAGCCTGGCTGCAGAGAACTTTAGACCCTACTGTCAGCATTGCGATTAGTATCTCTATGACTATCATTACGATAAATATTATTTCTACTATTCGTATGATAGAAACTTTCTTTGCACTTTGGTGTAGTCCAAATCTATTCATCTGCATCGCTCTGGCCATGGCTCCTTTGGCAAACTGCCTGCAGCAAACACAACTGCACTTGTTGTTTTCGCCTGGCTCGTGTCATGAAATTGACGAAGGGCCCCGCACTGACAAAGCAA